CGGTCCGCCCCCTGTCTCCTGTGGCACGCATTGCTGTTGTCTCCCCAGCGTTCCCACGGATACCTGGATGGATTTTTCTTTTCCCCCGGTACTCGTCGAGTGGAACGGCTGTGCTGATACGCTGTGACATCCCGACCAGCCAATGAGACAATGAACGCGCCAGCAGGTGCATCTCATCCCTTTCTGTTTCACACATTGTTCCTTCACTCGCTCTCACACTCCCTCCTCTCTTTCACTTTCGTACAGCGAAGAAGTAGGCTTTTTGAGAACAGATGAAAATTGATAAGTGGAAAAATCATGAATTTCTTAAGGTCATCAAAGGGCATCAAAGGTTACCCTTTGAGAGAAAAAAATACTTGATGTTTCTCTTACCATACTTTTGGTATATATGTTTATATATATGTTATATGTTACATATGTTTGGTACGCATGACGACATGGGTTTCCAGGGGTCTATAAGTTCATCGGAGAAGCACTCCAACAACCTTTTAATGCTTAATGTAGAACTGAACTCTGAAAGACTGGCTTTCCCTCCTAAAAGACTACCTTTTCCTTCGGTAGCAGTAGTGCACATGAATGCATCACCTTACTTTGCTCCAGACTGTACCTTCACCAGCTCTATTCAAATACAGTGCATTCCCCCTTCTCGTCATTTTTCTGCCTCTAATCAACAGATTTGTGGCAGCATAAATGGAGTGGTGCCCATGTCATATGCAAATACGTCATGCTAATTTGAAGAAATTATTCCAGCTGTAAAGTAAATTATTTAATCCTCCAGGGCATATAATCAAGCCACAGCTGTAGAAGCAAATACTCGGTTTTCTTTTACCCTCACCCTCTGTCTCAGTCTCTCTCTCTCTCTGTTTTTGTATCTTGGCAAAAAAAGAAAATTTGGAGGAAATGCAAAGGGGTCTAATGTGTTTGTACCAGATGGGAGGTGATGTCACGCCTGATGTCAGAGCCAGTTTAATGTCCGCTGCCTGCCTTATGTTGTGCTGACATGATTACTGCTGCTATGAGAGTGAATGGGCGACAGCCTCATATGGATGCGCTGTATGATGATGTAAACAAACGTGCCTGTTGACTTCAGAATGTGAAACATGCACCTGGATATAATAATCTCACACCATTAACAGATCTGACATCTGAATGCGTGCTGGACCCTTTCTATTTCAGCCTGATTCAGACTCATCCAGGCAAAAATTCTTTCACTCAAACAGATAAATTGAGGCCACTGGCATTATTAAAAATATGATTAAATAAGACATTGCAACTCAGGAAATATGTTATGGAATCAGTACAGCTCAATTGTTGAGAGTTCTAGTTGTCTGAGATAGCCACCATAAACAGGGAACCTCTTCTGTGACCTTGGGTATAGATTTTACATCTGCATGCAACACTTCACCAAACACTGGGCTAGGTTCACGAGCCCTTGGATTTGTAAGTCACCACTGATGCATCTCATCCTGTACAAAGAAGAATGTGTCCTCCTTGGTTGAGTTGGTTGCATAGGTGTGCTTGAACCATTGAGGGCAGCCCAATGGCTTCCTTTCAAATAAAATGACTGACAGACAGGAAAAATACAAGTTTAACCATGGACTCTACCTGCAGTAAAGGTCACAGTCACTGAATGAATAAGGTGTGGAATTGGATTGGAATTAGAGATGGATGTTAGGCAGACTATGGGCATCTGCTAAGCAAGTAGGTAATATGATAGAAAAGGAAGCAATCACTGAAAAACACCTAAAATGTTGCATGGCCATGCATTTCTTCTTCTATAAAATGACTCAGGGTCTAATATCTGTGCATGTGTCTGTGATTCACACCAGCTCTGAGGTGACACACATCGGGTCAGATTCACTATTTATGTGCACAAAGATTTTTGTGTGCATGCCATGCATATGATCAAAATGACAAACATTTTGAAATTCATTAATTTGTTCTTAGCTGGAATTTGTTCCAATGTGCTCCAATGTGACTACATCCCCAAACACACAAATTTGAGTAAGGCAACTTTTTCTGCATTTTTTTTGTGAAGAAAATGACCTTTTGCAATTACACAATTATGCACTTCAATTTGCAATAAACAAAAAAATGTACTAACTAATCTAATTAGGAGGTTTATGCTGTAATTAATGTAGTTGCCAAATTATAACTACAAAGCTGTCTTTACTGTAGGTGACAGGCAATGTGCTGAAAAGTATTTGTTTCGTTTCCTGAACATAGCACTTGTTTCTGGTTTGGGAAACAAACCAAAATTTAAAAGAAAACTGACACACCATTATTCCTGGGACTAAACAAATCCCACAAAAAGAAATAAGGTAACCACAAGGTGAAGTGCCCAAGTGCAGTGGGTGAGGTGCAAACTAGCAAATGTTTCAGCTAAGCAACCTTCATCAGAGCTATTCTCTGTTGTATAAAGTTACATGCTGAAAACCTGATTGATGACACTACTGGCAGATGCCACAGGAGGTTGCATTCAACCACATAGAAGCACTAGAGGACACTAGCAGTGTGATAAAAGCCCGGTGGATGTGTTTGGACGCAGCAGGCGGCACACATCTGTACACAGCAGAGAGGGTGTGCAAGACAACTTCAGTCCACTGTGTCCTCCACAATATAGGCATGAAATATAGCATTTGTTTGCCACCAGATGAAAGGCAATGGGAGACCCCTATGCCCGAATCATTCCTGACAACAGGGCTATGATCCAGACTCATAGAACTGAGGGGCATATTTGAGTCACAGTATGAATTACATGCATCCATACACTTTTTACCCCTTGCTTCCAGTTGAAAAGTCTTCTCCCATATACTTTCGATGTGTCAGATACAAATTTCATTGTTAGACAAGGCAACACAAGGACAACATTTTTGATCTGAAAATTTAGACAGTGGAGTCCTTTCAATGTTGTTCTTATTTTGACTAGTGATTTACCAATGTTCCAGTGTTTATATATATAAAACTTTCCATTGTGCGGAAGTCAGAATGGCCAGGCATGGAAGTCAAAATGACCTTACATGGGACTATCAGGGCGTTTACTTAGGCTAATTACAAACAACATGCATCTAATTTAAGAGCAGTTACGATTTATCATATGAATGAGAATAAGATTGAAATTGGGTGTTTCCCGCATTCTTTGTGAATCTGACATGACTTTTGGTTGGTAACTTTTCCCAGGAACAAAATAGGCTCATTTCTGCGAACATTTTGATGAATGAGCGCCATTTGACCTCACTGCCATCTGAATTTCTTCGGAAATGGCAAGTTGTCAGAGAAACATATTTTAGCAATGCCTAAAATGGTATACTGAGGAAGGCTTTCCGCTTTGAGGAATATCAGTTCCAGTAAATAAATAACTGTGATTATGTGCTCCTTTTTATTGCCAAATTGGGTGTATTTTGCTCTACCTTATGATACCAATATGTCCCCAGAAAGCACATCAAGCAGCAGTGCTGCTGAAAATGTCTTCTGCTCCTGGCAGGGGAGAGCCTTACCAAGAATAGGACAAGAAGAAAGAAGAAAAGAAGAGAGAATAAAAAGAAGAAAAAAGAACAGGTGCTTTGAAGGAGAGGAGAGTAGATGAGAGCAGAGGAGGGGAAGAGGTAGTAAAGTTTAAAGCAAGAGACTGATTTGGGGAGAGAAAAATAAGGGAGGAGAGGAAAACAGAAAGGGCAGGAACAGTATAGTCAACAGAGGAAGATTTTGCTCCAGCACTCGAAAATCTTTTGTTCTCAAAGAGCACAGTTACCTCACTGCTTAACAGCAAAGTCATTATCCTGAGTGCTAATGATTGTTGTCCAAATGTACCTGATATGCATGCGTGTCTGTGTGTGTGTGTGTGTGTGTGTGTGTGTGTGTGTGTGTGTGTGTGTGTGTGTGTGTGTGTGTGTGTGTGTGTGTGCGCTGTTCTCCCATTAGAGCTGATCTAGTTTGATGTTAGTGTTAATTAGCAATGCAAGCTGGCACAAACAAGGCTTTCTCATTGTGATGAAAGTGAGCTTTCTGCTAAGGGTGGGCGTGTCTGTACAACTCAGAACCCCTCGTGAGAGCTGCTGAAAATGACCTCGACATGAAAGTCAGCTGTTGCCCATCTGTGTTTGGCGGCTCCTCTCCAGTGCTTTGAGTCACCAGCTGTAAGTTTGAGAGACCGTGTCGGATACTCCCTGAATGACAAATGCCGCACATCGTTTCCTGGTATTTACCCAGTGCACAGTGTCATTCAAACAGAGAGTGAGCTGGCAAATACTGAGACGTTGTCAACTGGTAGTTCTTAGGAGCTGCTGTGGAACCACAGTGCTCAGTAAAATCACAGAGCCACCTCCTAATGGTAGTGTTATGTTTTTTCTCCTATCAATGAGTTGCCTGTACGTGCATTGTTATATCTATCCACTCATGAAATCAGCAGCGTCAATTGCTTATTCTGTATTCTAACAGCAATGGTTTAGGAAATCATACAGTATATATAATGATATATGTCTGAAAAATGCAATGTAATTACTTTTTGTCATTTAGCAGATGCTCTTTTCTAGGGTGATGTACAAGATGTGAGAACATTTAACATTACATTTACATTTTTTACATTCAATAGACACTTTTCCTAGAGCAACTCCAAAAGTCAAGTGCAAAGTGCATCCAACAAAATGACATGAAATCTTACACAAACAAGCATACCATTACAGACACATGAACAAGCACCAGACACAGGACTGAGATCATGCACCCAGCTCAACACACAACTGCGACACAACACAATAGAAGGACAACACAACAGAAGGAATGTACCATTCTGGCACAATGAACACATACTCTGAAGTAAAACTTCCATACATGATTGATGGGGTTAGATGCACATAGTTAATAAATATCACAATATGGGATAGTGATGCGACAGGGCTGCCCACAGTGGCCTCCCCTGATGCACCCCTGTAGACAGATTCCATTGTCTTTGCACAACGAGGATGACAGATGAAGGGGTAAGCAGCAAGATAAAGGGGGATGCCTGTGGTCATGTAGTGGTAAAGAGCAGGGCTCACAACCCAGAGGTTGCTGGTTCAATTCCCGGCTGGGGCACTGCTGTTGTATTTAATCCATAATGGGCTCAGTAAATAACCAGCTGTATAAATTGTTAATATGTAATTAGTGTAATATGTAAGAAGTGTATGTATCCATGTAGGTTGCTCTGGATAAGAGCATCTGCTAAGCAACTGAATGCATGTGATATGAAGCCTAAACTAACAACTAATTAGATCAGCAGTTAAAATGCATGCGAAAAACTAACCAAGGTAAAAAACAATAACACTCATGTGATTGTTATTGCTAAACAATGCTACATGGATCAGTGCAGTGCTACACAGTGCAGTGCTTATAGTGCTAAGCAACACAATGTTAAAATGCAACAAAGTTTAACACAATAATAAGTTAATAATAAATCAAGGCTTCTTTAGGCTTCTACTTTTATAACAGGTTATGAAAGTAGAAGCCTAAAGTACTGACTAATAGACTAGCACAGTTAGAATTCATTCAAAAAACTAACTTATGGCAAAAAAAAAAATGCAGCTAAAAAAGGCTACGATGTGATCAGTATTCTCCCCTTTTTATTGCAAAGGCTATTTTAGTGCAATTCATAAGTTCCAGTCAAATCACTGTCTGAATGTTTTTACAAAGGAGACACCACAGTAGGAATCTGACCAACTGTTACTGGCATAATTTAGAAATACTTAAAGGGCACAAAACCCCATGCAATGACCAGTCACAGCATGTAAGCACTTTTTTGTGATAGCACAAATAAAAAAAAATAACAGCTGTGCCAAAGGTGCTATTTTCCACCTTGTATTTTTAGCAGTGATTACTTATGACAGGGGTCAGACTATAATTTTTAAGGTGTGGATTATCAAAAAATGCTTGCTGCAGTGGTATTTTAAGCAATTCTAAAATACTGTCGCTATTCACATTCGTGAACGTGAATGAATTATTTTTTCTTTCTTTTTTTAATACAGATATGCCTGTGTTTCAGTTTTGTCAACTCTTGACTTGTTTATTTGTTTTAATTTATTTTCACAAATCATTTAGATTATTTCATACACCCCTGCTCTAACACACAAAACTGGGTGGTCTTGTATTTTACTTCTCCCAGTGAGATGCGTGTAAATAAAGCTGTACCCTAGTGCTGGAAGAATGGCTCTTTTAAAGGTAACTTTGCCAGTGTCCTGATCGTCACCAGTGTCCTGATTGGCCAGTGCACAGACACAGCTTTGTCACACCCTCTGCCCATCAAAGAGAAAATCCATACTGATCTGTGCTTTGTGGCACGTGTTTCTACTGTTTAAATAAGATATTAAATCAGATTTCAGATATGCCCTTCTGATAACAGTGCAAGGTATTTTGATAATTTGATAACTGCATTACTTCTGTTTAAATAAGGTCCAATGTATCAAAAATGTCATTAAAGATTTGGATGGCACATATACCATCTGCCAAGTGACAGGTTAGCTAGGCAAACCCCCATTATAAATACAGAATGGTGTGTTTATAAGTGCACACATATGTGTGTGTGTGTTGTTTTGTATTGAGTGTCTTGTACAAATGTTTGTTGCATTTACTGGGTGCAACAGAAAGGAGGACAGTGTGAAGGAGGAAACAAATGGAGGTGTAGTCATGTCATTGCGTGGGTGTTGATTCACCCACTCAACTTATCTCAGAATGGGGGGGTGTAATTCAGCCATAATTTGACTCCTTGAAAAGTAAATGGCATTAGAAATGGCAGGCCAATAACAGCTCATTGTTAGGAAGATGGGAAATGGGCTGTGTTCAAGTCATGACAGCTTAAAGTGTCTGAGCTTATTCTTCTGGTGACTTGTGGTATACTGGCAAATGCACACCAAATGCTGGTCCTGTTTACACCCTGTGTGCAATCAAGTGACCGTAAGAAATCTTTCCCCAGAATTTCTACAAAATGTTCTCTTAGCAATCCTTGTGCTGTCGGGCGCACCCTGCCAAGAGAGACACGTATCCTTCAGTCTATGCTCATCCATGGCTTGAGGAACCTCAGTGAACACCCTAAGGGACTGTTTAATTTCCTCAATCCAATTTAAACTCCATCAATTACAGGCATCAAACTGCTTGTTCATTCTCTTTTTAAGTGGCATATTTTTTCAAGTAAGACTAAAGAGAATTGAAGGGAATCCTTGTACCTTGCCTGTGGATGTCAGAGCCAAGAAGGACCATGTATTTATGTGGTGGGGACTGGAGGGCTGGCATTGCGCTTGACTGTGGAACACTGATTGACCGTCTGCAGTGATAGCATTCCAGCCACATTCACAACAGTTTGAATAATTGCAGGGGTTTGGGTCTGGGAAAACTGTTGCATTTCAGAGCCATCAGCTGTATGGATGAATGTTAAAACCAATGTGGAGTCTCAAGTGTTAGTGAAGAGATTCTAATCAGAAACCAAGACCAAGGTACATGTCTTTTTTTTTTGAGGGTGGCAGGGTTGCAACTTTAGAAACTGTTTCTAGCTCACTGACTGACTCTGTCAAGTTTCTAGACACAAGAAACATAAAAGAAATGTGTCATGTTGCAAATGGTACAATACTAAAATATTTTGCTCATTATCTCAATTTCGATGTATATTATAAAAGAATATTTCAAAGATGTAAATCTTTTCAATGTGGCTTCTGAATTATTTAATACATTCACACAGGAAACTAAGTTCTCAGTTTGTAGTTTCCTCATGCATATGATGGGAAAGGAAACAACATTAAGCAAGTATTATGTTTTTGCATTGAAAAGGTTGTTTACAGACGTGGACAACTTTTGCAAGTAAAATTAATTAGAATAGACAGTTCTGTTGGAGCAATATTTCCATTACCATATTATCAAACATGGTAATGTGGTCATGTTGGAACTAAGGGAATAGAGTAGAGTATTTTTGTATTAATAAGCAGAACATTAATAAGCTTAGTTTTGGATTCCAGGACAAAAAACAGGCATTTATTAATTTACTAAGACTATGTCGATTATATCATTAATATTTGGATAGAAGTTTTAGAAATGACAATTTGAAAAGACACTTTATGAGCCTTATCGATTGCTGTATGAATTAAGCATCACAAAGAATCTCAATAAATACTCGAATATTGCTGTTACTGTTGCACAGTACTTATTTTAAACATTGGATACATACTATAAACTCTATGTATTTTTATTACATATGCTGCATATTCAAAAATATAAACTTTCATTCTTAGTATGCAGAACAACCACATATACTCTGGATGACCCATCAAACATGCAGTAGGAACAACTTTTTCATCAGGGGCTCAGCCATCACATTACTATTTCAGCAAGACACCTATTACTGGTTTATTTTCTGTGCTGAGCACAGTATGTGGCTGTCAGAATTTGTGCTTTATCAATTGTTAAAAAAAAATTAAAATAACAAAAAATGCATGATTCATATTGCCATTTTAAACATCTACAGAAAAAGTCATCATAATTCTGATTGAGATGTGTTTTGTCATTATGGCTGAAAAGAGTGTATGCATAAAATCCAGATACTGTTATTAGGTGAGACATAAACTTTTACACTGGTAGGTTTTCAAATCACGTTGTCATTGGTTGCTGAAGATGGAAAAACAGCAATGCCCATATTGCTGATTTGGCTGTCATCAAAGTCATGCATAAAAGTGGACTGTCATGGCATTACCATTAAAATCTGATCACCCCAATAGATTGTCTGGCACAAATTAATATACTTTCTCAGTTATGGATTGCAGATTTTTAAAAAATAATTGGCTTTAACCCTACATGCAAACCGTTATAAATAAAGTTGACATTAACCATATTGCTGTGTACAGGTAAAGGACAGTTTGCTGCTGTAATGGACCACGTGGGAGGTGGACAGACTTTCCTTGGTTGTGTTTCAGCATTCAAGAATTGACTTCAGCTTTGTGAGCTGCATTGTTACTGGTGTTACTGCTTTGACTTTGTTATTGACCTTTACATTATCAGTATCATTGAATGATACACCGAACTCTTCTTTGTGTTCACAGTCATGCTTTACCTGCCATTTTCAATAAGGCTGGCTGGATGGCAGTGGTGGAATTGTATGGATATGCCTCACGGAGTCATAGAAAATTCTTTTTCTAAAGAGAGCCGTATTCACATGGAAGGTCCCTCATCTGCAGACTCCTGGATGTAAAAGTTAGGTAATGTGCACATTAAAATATAACGTTCATTTGACCACGAGCACCCTTATTTTTGTAAAGTGCATTCATTTGCATATAATGAATATGCATGGAGCTTAGGGATATATGTAAATATCATGCAAAAATGCCACTGATTAGTATGATGATATGCAGACAGCATTCACAACTCAAGATGAATTAAGCAAAAGAGTACCTTAAACTGAACCTTTTTTAGGTTGTATGCTAATACAGGTCAGTCTGTCCCATACAGGGAGGTTGTCCTTGTGTATATTTCTGCTTTTTCCCCAATACCAGAACCACGATTATTGGTCCAGTTTTCTATTGCATTATTTGTCATTCCATCTGGAGCTGGCCTGCTCACAAGTGCTTGCAAACGTTACGCTGTGTAAGTTAATTCAAAAGTTCTTAGAAAGGAGACAATGTTACAGATTTTGGATGCTACAGAGAATTGTACAGAATCATACAAACAAAAATGCAACAAAATGCCTCTTGATCAAACATTCACTCTTATTAAAACTCTTAATTTTTCTTTGAGTACATTCATTGCAAATGTTCCAGTTGTAGACAAATACATCTAGATGTAGATAAATATACTTTCTGTCTCCTAATCAGTTCACTGTTCTTACAAGGCTCCTTTCTCAAAAGAGCCTTCTCGTTCTTATAACATAAAATACCTGGGTGGAGCTTTGTTTGGTTGCCTTTTTTCTCTTGCGAGGGCACCCCTGGAGGTGATACTGCATGCAATTAGGTTTTGCACAAGTATTTTGCACACAAACATATCCAGGCTTCCAGCTTTTGCATGCTCTCAGCTGACATTTGTTTACAATGCAGCTGAGCAGTCTTGGCTCTTCATTCTCCTCCAGC